CTTTTCCTGGTGTTCTTTCTTGGGAGCAAGCCCAATAGAAAATGCCAAGGAGGAAAGGGCAAGTTGTAGCAGAATAAGAAAGGGGATATAGCAAACTTAACAATGAAGACTTTTTCCTGGTTATGATAATTGCTGCTTCCTTTTTTAATTAGCTATTTAGTTTCATTTTACTTATATATGCTGGGTACATATGGGTTATGTAAAATAGAGTATATAGAGTAGTTCCAGAGCAATCAGCTGTCCAGGACCAGGCAGCCATTCCTGTAGAGCTACAGCCATATTAAGCGTCAGGCCCAGCCATTTGCTGTCATCATCAGTGTCAGTATCCTAGGAGATGTCCTGATCTTGCATAATTACATCCTGATAAATGAGTACTTTGTGCTCATAGCAAAAACACTTTCAAAATTAATGTAATTGAGAGAGAGCTACTGTTGATGTACCTGTCTCCAAATCATTTGGAATATCATGCAAAACCATTTTATTTAGGATCTTTTTTTAACACCCACCTGTATTTTAAAGTAATCACATTCATAGACCAAATTATATTGTCCTTAGAGAATCAAATTTCAGAGCTGCCCTCAGGAACCTAAGGAATAAAAATTAATCCTTGTTATCCCAGTAAATTAATAGGTAAGGTTCATTCTAAGTAAACAAGAATGATAGAAAAACACCCAGTTACCCACAGTGTAATGCAATTCCAAAGCAGCAAGTCCATTTACCCCAAACACTATTCCAAACCCATGGGGCCAGCTCAGAACGGGCACTGTGTAAATACATTAACTGCAGATAAACCAAATTATGGAATTCCTGCATTAATAAAAGTGGTTTTGTGGTTAAGAGCAACAATATTTAAAATACCAATGCATGTTTTCAACTGTAAACCTATTTGATACAGCCTTTATAAGGAACCAAATGAGACTGAGAGATAAAAATAAAAATCACATTAATGTAAAATCAAAAAAAGCAAAATTAAGTAGATGTAAGTACACAGGTAATTATTGTTGAAAAGGTTCTTCATTCCAAACCTTTGTGGTTTTTTTCCAAGTATCCATATCAGGTTCACATTTTGTGCCTGTGAAAAGAGAGTGGTTGCATATGTGATGGGATGGGGTGTAGGACACCAAAATTCAGCAATGCCAGTGTGTGGAAAAGAGAGCCCAGCATAAGCTTTTGTCCTCCTTCCCCTGCCAGCACAGTCACTTTTGCTCTGGGATACAGTCTTTACAGCCTTCATAGCATCCAAAGAGTGCCCTCTCTGCATGCTAGGGCAGAAGTAGTTCAATTTTAAGACAGAAATATGATCAAAAAAGTATATGCTAAAAAATATTCAAACCCACTTTGTGCATTTATAAATCTGATTCCCGTTGGAATCAGGTGAGACTGGGCATTTTAGATGCTAAAATGTTTAAGTAACTTTCAGAAACCTGCTGCCAAAATGGCTAGAGATAGAAAGTTGAAAATTGGCATGTTATGACATTCGCTTTAGCAGAGGTGCCCACGCTCTTCCCACAGCAAAATGACTTTAATTTGCCCAACCTCAGAGTCCTTGAAAATGACACTCTGAGCATTTGCTGTAATGATTTCTCACTAAATTAGAAAAATGCCCAACTAAGGAGGGATTATCTCTGCATGTGGATGTGGCATAATGACTGTCAAGTGCACTGAGAGCCCCACTGGGCTTTGCAAGGTACACAGGGTCTGCAGCAGAGGCCAGCGTGCATCGGGGAATATTAATACTGTCTTGTTGGGGCCATCCATTGTGACACTCCACTGCTGTTCAGACAAAATTATACCATATGAGGGAATTCTCTTTGCTACTTTACATATATGAGGTACATTTTAGAGCTGAGGATTGTTCCAAATTGTCTGGCTGACAAACTCAGTCCATAAAGGATGCAGTCGCATGTGTGCCTACACTCTCTGTAATGTGTGCACTGGCTGGGGCAGCATCACCAAAAAATTCTTCCTTGCAGCCCACATCTGCTGTGCCTGCAGTGAGGATGTGATAGTGACCTTGATTTGCACACCCATAAAGTTTTCCAGCTGCTCTCACCAGCTCTGGTTCCTCAGGACAAAATATGCTTGTCCACAAGGTACTGTTTGTCTGCCAGGCATGGTGGTGGCCAGGTTTCACAGTGAGCAAGGAGCAAGCTGTGTGGGCAGTGCCACTGCCTCATCATCCCTGCCTCAGAGGTGAGAAACTCTCCCTGTCTGCCTCAAAACAGGGGTGTGAGGAGGCACAGAGCTTGTGCCATGGAGGAGCAGAGACATGGTGGGAATGTGCTGGCAGACAGGGATGTTGAGAGCTTCAGCAGTGCTACCACAGCACCACTCCAGCAGCAACAGTCACACACTCAGTGCTGGTGTTCCTTGCATGTCCCTGCCAGCCAACTGGCTCAATCCCCTGCTGCTGAGCAGGCACAAGGGGCACACACACGCGCCTCTACGGGTGCCACTGACTTCAGTGCCAGTGCTCTGGAAGAGGACGCCAGACCGCTTGCTAAACCTACATTAGGCTGTTTCTGCCTCTATTTTGCAATGACTTTTCAAAACAAGCCTGGTAAACATGAGCAGGATGGGAGGTGAGTGCTGGAAAATCTACAGGGCCCTGCTGTGCAAAATAAGGTCCTCTGAGGGGTCTTTTCTGTTGAAACTGGTCCACTGGGGAAGAATGGACAGGCAGGGAACATTATGGGGCCAAGCACCAGGCAAGACTGACTGACTCTTGTATCAAGGCCAGATTTTAGTCTCAAACCTGCCAAATTCACCCCCAACAGTCAAGGGAAAAGGAGCCAGGAAGATGCTGCCCATGGGTTGTTGTAACTACAAGCTTGCCTGCTGTCCCATCTCAGCTGGGTAATGTGGGTGGGAAGCCAGCAGAGGAGGAAGCCAAGACAGAGAGGTAAGAGGTCTAAGGGTCCCAGGAGCAAGTAGATGAAGGAAGGCCACCAAGGAGCCTGAACGTTTTGTCCATTTGCCTCAATCTTGATAATGCATCTACCCAGTGTCACCCAACTTCAAGACGGGGGAACACAAATCAGCCCAGACCAGCAGGGTGAGAGTACTGCTTTGTGCCTGTCCTGCACTGTCATGTCTAATCGTTCCCCCCACTTCCCATTATCCTGAGTGTCCTGAGAGGTCCGCAGTGTGCCATGGGCTGCAGGGTCACACTTTCCACTCATCTGTGGAGTGGGGCTGCAGGAACCATAGATCTCCCGGACCCACAGGGTGTCGTGGGAAGGATGGAGGGTGACAGGTTTGTTTCATGGACAGGACTTGATGTTGTCCCGGCAGTGGGACTTTTACCTGCTCTGCCTTTACCCTGGTGCCCAGGGATCCCAAACCCATAGCTTCCCACATCGACTTCAGCCTGTGTGTGGAGCAGCATTGACCTTCTCCACAGGGATTTCCCATGAGGGACAACATCCCCCTGTCTCTGTCCGGTGCATGTTTTGTACATGCGCTGGGATGAAAACTGTGTCTCGTCCCGGACGGGCAGCAACCTACGGTAGCCTAGGGACCCAAGCACATTCCGCGGATGGCAGGGCACGAATACCGCCGTCCCAGGCGGTGCAGCAGTGCAGCCTCGCGGGGAGAGTCGAGGCGTCGGCTGCGGGTGCAGGGACGGCCGCTGCACCCGCTGAAGATGGTCCCCGTGAGCCCGAACGGAGCGGGAGTCCCGGCACAAAGAGCTTTTCCCTGCACGGACGGAGCGGCGGCCGGAGCGCCGGGCTCTGGGGGTCCCGCACCCGAGGAGGTTGGTGCCGGTCCGGCTTGTGGCACCCCCGGGGCACCTCTCGACTGCTTCGGACGGGGCTCCCCGCTAGGCAGCGGGACGAGTCACGGCGCAACGGGAAACAGCGGCAGAGCGCTCAAGGAGCGGGGCTGGCGGGACCCCGCAGCCGTGATGGAGGGAGCCCCGGCAGGGCCGGTCCAGGCCCGGCCCCAGCCCCGGAGGGTTAGCGGGAGGCTGAGACAGCCCTTCCTATCGGGCTGCCGCGGACACAGGGACAGAGGGGCCGAGTCGCGGCGGCAGCCAGGCGTTCATGCGGCCCTACAGCCGCGGGCAGGCTGGCGGCTGGGATGGCAATGGAAGGTGCTCGGCTCAGCCTCTCCCCGGCCCGGTCTTTAGCATCGCGGGGGAGGACCGAGAGAGCCCCCGGGGTTCTCTCAGAAGGCGGGGGTCCTAAGCACCCCGTACTTCAGCTCGACACGGAGAAAGGAGGGCTCCCCGTCATCTGCGCTCGCCAGAGCGGACGGGTCCCGGTGCCGAGCCGCGGCGGAGAGGGTTGGAGAGCGATGCTGCTCCCAGCGCACGCCCGAGCGGCTGCTTTCTACGCGGAGAGAAGGAAATAAACCACCAACGAGCTTTTATTGTTATCACAATCATTATTATCATCGCCATCATCGTTTCTCTGCACATAAATAAATAAATAAATATCTCCCGCGGGGAGGGAGTGGGACGGAACGGTACAACCGCAGTTGTGCGCCCGGCAGCGACGAAGTCAAAACAAAACCATTTTGTAAAGGAAACAAAAAAAAAAAAAAAGGGGGGGAGAAATATAGTAACCCAAACAGCCCCGGTCCGTTCGCCCGCTCTTGGGCACCGCCGAGTTACCGGAGGGAGCCCGGGACAGCATCCCTCCAGGCGGGCGCACCGCCCGTGCCGCGCAGCATCCGCGCACTCCGTGCCCGTCTCGTGCGCGGGGAGGTCAGCGAGGAGCGTCCCGGGCCCGGGGCTGCGCCTGCGGGGACACAAGTGAGAGAGCACTATGGGGGGACGCCTGGGGTCCTAGGGAGGAGTTTATTTACACCAGGGTGCCGGGACACCCGTCCCCGTGGGCCGGGGGTCTAGAAAGGCGAGAAAGTCCTTCGTAAATTACACAAATTATACAAAACGGTATAAAATCCTTCGGCTGCGTGTCAGCACCGGGGCAGGCAGGATTCCCTCCCCTGCTTTCGCCACAGTTCCTGCGGAGCCGGGGTGGGTGTGCGGGTGGTTAGGGGGTGACTGCGAGACCTCTGTCGTCCTTCCCCGAGGAGGACGGAGACATGCGCAAGTCCTCGTCGTCCTCCGAGCACTTAGTGGTGGAAAGGGACGAGCATTTGCAGCTGTGGCCGCCCCCCCCGCCCCGGTGGGAGCTACTTTTGCCTTCTTTCTTGTGCTTGACCCGTCGGTTCTGGAACCAGATCTTCACCTGCTTCTCGGAGAGGTTCAGGTAGGTGGCGATCTCGATTCGCCGCAGTCGGGAGAGGTACATGTTGGAGGCGAACTCCCTCTCCAGCTCCAGGAGCTGCGTGCTGGTGAATGCGGTGCGCATCCGCTTGCTGCTGGGCAGCTGGCTGGACGTGCTGTCTGGGAATGGAGAGGAGCGCACCGTCAGACCGGCCGGACCCTCCGCCGCCCGCCCCGCCGCCCCGGGCACTCGCCGGCCCCCGCTGAGCCCCGCTTGCCGCCCACCCTGCGGGGCCGCAGCCCTTCCTCGTCCCCGGGGGGCCTGAGACCCAGCAAGCGCTGACAGGCTGGAGTCCGAGCCCGCACGGGTTTCGCGGCCGCCTCTCCCTCCCCGACCGCACAGCCTGGCTCGGGGACTCGGCAGGCGGCAGAGGGAATTCCCCAGCGCATCGTCCGCGGCACCGGCGGAGAGAGGCGCCGGCACTCCCGTCCAGCCCCGTGCGCTGGGCAGGCAGCCCCCTCGGCAGGGTCCCCCGGGACCCCCATCGCCTCCCCGCAGCGCCCCCCGCTGCCATGCAGGCATGCACCCCCGCCGGCCGCCGCCGCCCGCCTTACCCACGGAGATGCAGTGGAACTGCCGCGGGTCGGGCAGCGGGTAGGCGCCCTGGTAGAGCGCCGGTGCGTGCCCGACGCTGACGGCGGAGACGGAGTGCTGCTGGCGGGCCAGGGGCGAGTGGCAGTACTGGGAGCCGAAGGGAGGGAAGGAAGCCTTGATGAGGGGGATGGCGGGCGGCGGCGGGTGCAGCTGGGAGGCGGTGACACAGAGCGGGCAGACGCAGAGCAGCCCGGCCTTGCGAGCGTGGCAGGCTCCGGCCGGCAGCCCGGGCAGCGGGTGCGAGGGGTGCACGGCGTAGGGGAAGAGCGGCGGCGGAGGACTGCCCTCCCCCTTCTTCTCGCCCGCCTCCCGCAGCACCAGCGAGTCCACCAGGAAGGAGCGCGGCATTGCCCCGCGCAGCCCCGCGCAGCGCCCCGCGCAGCGCCCGCCCGGCGCCGCTGGCCAGCCCGAGTGGTGCTGAACGGCGCCCGCCGCCCGCTTTAAATAGCGCCCGCGCCATGTGATGGCGGCGCCGGGCGCTCAATGGGCTTTCTGTGGCTCTTCTCTTGGCATTCACGCCGCACGCTCCCTCATTATTTCCCTTGTTAACTAAATGAACTGCATAATGTACTCTATTCTTGTCGACCCCACCCACGCCGTAGCAGGCGGCCTCTCCCCTCCTCTCCCTTTGGCGGGGTTATTTTCTCATTCTCTCGCGATTTAATATTCTTTTCTTTCTCTTTATCGCTCTCCTTCGCTTTCAGCCCAGCTTTCAGCCCGCTCCCACTTGTTTATTTTGCCGGCTGCAGCCGCGGTCTCCGCCGGCGCAGCTTCCCTGCCAGCCCCCCGGTGCCTTTCCCACCTGTGGCACCAGGTCTGCCCCCCGGTGCCGACGGCCTCTCTCTCTCCCCTCGCCTCCGGGATGTCTCGTCCCCACTGCCTCGCGCGCCGCCTTCCCTAGCCCCACGTCTTTGTTCCCAGCCTGGGTCCGGGACTTGCCACTTTTCGCTGTGGCCGCCGTCGGGCGAAGCCCCCGGCCGCAGAGATGCGCCAGCCGGTGCTCCACCGGCCAGGACATCCGCCGGGCCTCTGCGTGGGCGCCCGGGCACAGCTCAAGGGTGCCACACGCATCGCGGCCGCGCTGCTGCGGGTACACAAAACCCGACACGCAGACGCCGCTCCGTGCCGGCGGCACCCGCGGAGGGCAAAGAGGCGCTCGGCACATTCCGCGTGTCTTTACCCCCGTTCCCCGTGCCCGGTCGCGGCGGTGACACCTGCCATCGCTCCGTGGCACCGTGGCACCCACGTGCGGCGGCCCCGAGCCCGGCCAGCAGCAAACCGCGCCAGCCCGAGCCCGCATCGCCGCGCACAGCGCGCCGGGGATGCCCGGGGCTGCGGGGGCCGCAGGGAACGGCTTGTTTTCCCCGAACGATGAGATTTAACTTAAACACCGCGGCGGTGTGTGGATGTGGCAGCACGGGGACCTGCTGAGCTCCCAGCGGTGCCCAAATGGAGCGCGCGTCCCTCGGAGCTCCGGCGCACCGGCGCTGCCCCTGCAGCCGCTCCCGAGCCGCGCTCCTCGGAGCTCCTTGGTTCAGTAGGGGAATAAGGAATGCGAACAAATAGGAAAAAGAAATAATTCGTGGGGATACGTATTCTACCCCGATTTTCCCGTTTAATACACGGGCAATAAAAAGACAAACGCACCCTCCGACCCCTGTCAAAACGTGGGGATGTTGGTCCCTACAGTAACCTCCCCGCCTCGAAAGCAAACGGACTTTTTGAAAAGGAGGGGGAAAAAGGGGGAAAGGAAGAAAAAGCCTTGAAAGTGGTGCACTCCGTTTCTCAGGGCTGTGCAGAGGTTGTTTTGCCTGTGGTCACAATTCTTACAGCAATCCACGGGAGTTTTGCCGAGAGACTATTGATGCCCGAGCCAAAAAATGTACTGATGTGCACAAATGAACGGCGGAAATTACAGAGCGAACAAAAACGAATGTTAATAAAAACTCAGCCCCGCCATGACATAGAGAGGATTCCCAAGTGTCCTTTCCCTGAAAGTGTTAATAGGGTTTGGATTTTTCTTTTTGATTTTTAAGGAAAAGGTATTTTAAAACATTTTCCGCCGGAGCTGGGTCCCGGGAAGGGGCATTTTTCCCCGCTGAGAAGCGGCTCGCCACCGGGGGTGGTGGATTCAGCCTTATTCCGAGGGATTCCCGCTGCCCAGGGGCTGAACCCCGGGGCTCCGAGCCGCAGGGAGGCAAAGGGTTAACAGCTTCTGAATGCACACCAAGCCCAAAGCTACTGGGAAAGAATATCCAAAAAAATAACCAGTTTTTTTTTCCAGCCGCTGGACCTTATTGAATGTCATTGAAGAAAGTTTTGAATGCCAGATAAAGAGAGGCGAATTAAAGTGTGTGACAGCAGAGGATAAGCAAACACAAAGAGAACTCTGTCACACTTTGGGCAAAATCCGTGGGCTTTTTACCAAGCCTCTTCGCTATGATTGAATTAAGTAATAGGAAAACATTTTCTTTCAGTTTAGAGCCATTAGACAAAAACTTCAAAGCGAATAACACTTTTTAATGTGCAGCTCAACAATGGAATCTGTTTTGTGCTGAAATGTTTAAATGGTTTGTTGTGCAACTGTGGGCTGAAATAACCTAGACTGCAGCAAAATAGCATCCTTCAGGCCGTTTTATGAGCGCTTGAAACTAGCACAGACCTTTAATCCCAGCACTTTAAACTAGCTCCCCTCCCCGTCTTTTTGCGCCCCCTCTTTTTTGGGGTTTTGTGTTTTTTAATAAATTCTCCTCGTATGTTTGCTATCTCGGAACGATGGTCGCGGAACGAAAAGGGCTCCGAGAGAGGGGGAAGGAGATCCACGGACTGGGTCGGGGCTGCAGGCGGCTCGGGGGGCGCGGGGGGAGCCCCTCCCGGAGCTGCCGCTGCTCCTGGGGCGGGGATGAGGTCCTGCCGGGATGGGACCCTGCCGGGATGGGGCCCTGCCGGGATGGGGTCCTGCCGGGATGGGGCCCTGCCGGGATGGGGTCCTGCCGGGATGGGGTCCTGCAGGGATGGGGTCCTGCCGGGATCGGGTCCCCGGCGGCAGCGGGAGGTGCCGGGGCTTGGGCTCCGCACGGAGAGAACCGCCGGGGGCAGCTGCTCCCCCCGCACTGTCACACCCCCGGGAAGGGGACGGGGACAGGGAAGCATCAGGGTGAGCATCCGCTGGGGGACCCTTAGAGAGGGGAACGTCAGGGATCGCTGCGGGGGATACAGGAGAGAGAGGGCAACAGCGCTGGCACTACCTGAGCCGTGCTGCCCCCCTGGCGATGGGTGACATGCGACACGGCTGCCGGCGAGGGGACAGGGTGTCACACCGCCGCTGCTGCCGGGGGCGGCTGTGCCCATCGGCTGGAAGGAGCTCCCCCTTCGTTTTGAGGGACCGGCCATCGTCGCCTTTTGTGGCGAGGCCCTCACTGTCCGCGGTGGCCGCCGCTTCCCTCCCAGGGTAGGAGGTGCCACGCACCATCAGTCCCTAAGGACGGCAGGGAGAGGTGCGTTAGTTTGGGAGCTGTGGGGACGGGAGGGTGAAATCCCTCTGGAATGGGAAGGAATCGCTATTTCCAAGGAGACGACGCCCTTGATAGCTGAGCAGGGCTGACGATTTGTGAGTGACTGTAATATTCCCCAGCCTATCCCGAGTAATTATTTTCCAATGTAATTATTTTCCAATTCTCCAATATTTACCAAAATGTAAATCAAAGCCAACACTGAGCCGCAAGGCACGCGCCATGGGAAGGATTGTCCAAGGAATGTGCTTATACACTGGACAAACACACCCAGGAGCAAGCTTGTGAAATACCTGTGAATCCCTTCCAATAACCTGATCACTGAATGATTCTGAGTTTGAGTAACCTGTAACAGTTTTTGGTTTGCTTGGTTTACTTCTGGCCTCCAGTGATCCGCAATATCAGGGATTCCAGAAACATAAGGTGTGTTTGTGTTTCATTTCAGTTTTTCCAAAATAAAGGCTAAACCACAGGGGGTTTTGTTGTGTGAGTTCTTCTTTATCTGTTGTCTGTTCAATCAACTCCTCTCAAATTTATAATAGTATAATTTTGTAGCCTATCAGCAATGGTTTTAAAAGGGGCTTTAAAAAAGGAGAGACTATTTACAAGGACAAACATTGATAGCACAAAGGGGAATGGGTTTAAAATGGAAGTGGAGAGGTTTAGATTATTTGTTAGGAAGAAATTCAGAGGGTAGTGAGACACTGGAACAGGTTGTCCAGAGAAGTTGTGGATGTCCCATCCCTGGAAGTGTTTAAGGCCAGGCTGGACGCGACCCTGAGAACCTGCCCATGGTGAGGAGGTTTGGAATATAGGTGATCTTTAAGGTCCCTTCAACCCCAAGTCATTCCATGTTTCTATGACCCAGCCTCGCCACTTTTCCATGTGTTTCATCCAGTTTCATCTGTTTTCCATAACAGTTTATCAAGATAATAGCTTATCTTGCCAGTAAAACCTGTGCCACAGGACCAAATCAAAGCTGCTTGTTTCTGTAACCTTTATTTTCTCTTTCCACAGCAGATACCTAGGGTAGAGATTTGCCATTTAGATCTTCAGTCCCATTGGTTCCTAACAGGATTGGTTTATTAGGAAATCTTGTACTCATCTCCTAAGAAGACAATTTGTTGATTTGACCTTTCACTGAGGAGGCCATTCCAAAGACGTAGCTGGACATAAATAATAACAAAGTAACAAGAAAAGTGGGAACATGGAAAACCAAACAATTTAAAATAATCTTTTGTTTTTATAGTGAGACCACAGTTTAAATTGCTGGTGACCTTGTAGGACAAAAGTACTCAAAGGATGGAGAAGTGCTTGAGTAATGAAGACAAGGAATTGTAAAAGAGGAGCTGGGTATTAGTTCTGCAGATGTTGTTAAAATACAGAATTGTTAGAAATACCATCCTTCAACCTCAGAATCCACCCTATTTCCTAGTCCTTTTTTATTGCCATCTTCTCCTTTCTCCAAACTTCTCACCTTTATGTATTTCAAGTCCTCTGCAAACTGAAAGCTTTACAGGTTGTCAGACTGCTCTTTGAGAACATCCAAGGGGAAATTCTGTCATCTTGTATGGTAAGAAGCTGTATCACATCTGTTGTTTATATGAGGCATTTGAACAGTTCCCTGTAGCTCAGGTACTTCTTTTTAATCACAATAATGTGGATGGCATCATCAAACCCTGCTGATCTGCAGCATGGGTGCCTGAAGTTGTGGGTACACTGCTTCAGTGGTTGTGAGTACACTGGTTTCAGTGGTTGTGGGAACACTGGTTTCAGTGCTGGCTTCTTGCCCCTTCCTGGCAGATTTGGAGGGTCTTGCAGTGGATTTAGTTATTA